TCTTACGTGCATAGAATAATTCCAGTTGAAAAATAAAAAGGAATTTCGTGAGATCTAGACCAGCGAATCGGGTATTTCGTAAATTCAAAGAGAAATTGAAATTAGGAGATAAAGTCGAAGTCTCACAATAATACGACAGGTACATTCAGTCCCGTGAAGTTCCGACACCTGCTTTGAGATGTTTTATGAATCAATACCGTGAGATGTGATGGTCAGTTTTTCCGTCGCTGTTGTTGTGTCAAGAAGTGCCACAGTGATATAAAGTGTTATCGGTGCTGAGGGAATATAAAATCAAGAGGTAAGTGCTGGTCAACACAGGTAAAACTCTTAACAATTACTCCACGAGAAAAAAAACACAAATAATATTTTTCAAGGACTTTACTGCCAGTGTGTGTACAATACAACGTCTTAGTCCACCCGCTGGTCGAGAAAATGTAAGAGAAAATTTCTTACAATAGGTAAAAAAATTTGAAATACGGCTCAAACGTAATCTTATTTAGGAATGATACATCAACTGAGTATTTTAATAATTTTATCGTTTGTGAAAATGTAATCCCTCACATCCTTCTTACCTTTACCTTGTCAGCCAGCGGAGTGAGAGTAGAAAAACTAAACACTGGAATTTAAAAACAATTGCTCATCAGATATAAGCTACTTAACACGTGAATAGTTTGGAAGGGCACCTTGCTTATTTTTAACATTAAACCAAGGAAACCTAATCAATTCTAACCTAACCAAATGGATTCACTATAAATTTTAGTGACGTGGGCCATATCAGGTTTGGTTGGTTCGTTTGTCGTCATTTCTCGTTTAATCGGATGTGACCCCAAACACGAATTCCATGCCATAAAGCGGTAACCTTTTTACAAGTGGACTCTCAGCGATGTTAAGGTTTTTAACACATACAATAGATATATCTCATCATTTTTAGTAACTTTCATTCTACACACCGTCGCAAATGATTAATAATGAACCTAATAGAGCCTGACCTAACCAACCAAAGAAACGCACCTAACCTTACCTAAGCCGGGAGCCCGCCATATTAAACAGAAAGTACTTGTTTTGATATTTGGTTCCAATGAAAGTAACTTTGTTGAAGGGTCATGGTGCAATTTTACATTTTTTGGGGGGGATTTGAGAGTACGGTCGGTTGTAAACAAACAAACAGATTTTCCGGAGGATTATTTATGGTAAGAACATAAGAACATAAGGAGTCTGCAATAGGCCGGTTGGCCTGTGCATGGCAGCTCCTGTATAGTTACTACCACTCTCTATCATCCATGAATCTATCTAGCCTCCTTTTGAAACTTTCCAGAGTTCCTGCACTTAATACAAAGTTGCTAAGCTTGTTCCACTCGTCCACCACCCTATTTGTGGACCAGTTTCTTCCTATCTCCCTCCTAAACCTAAACTTATCCAACTTGAATCCGTTGCTCCGAGTCCTATCCTGCTCGGATATTATAAGAACTTTATCTACATCCCCTTTATTGATTCCTTTCACCCACTTAAATACTTCCATCATATCTCCCCGCACTCATCCTCTTTCTAGGGAATGCAAGTTAAGTTTCTTTAGCCTATCCAGATAAGGAAGGTTTCTAAGTCCCTGAATCATTTTTGTCATTCTTCGCTGCACCGACTCCAGTGAATTTATATCCATTCTATAATAAGGGCACCAGAACTGAACCGCATAATCGAGGTGTGGCCTGACTAGCGCAAGATATAGTTGCAATAAGACCTCTGCACTCTTGTTACTTACACTTCTAGATATAAAACCCAATACTCTGTTTGCCTTATTTCGAACATTAACGCACTGTTTTCTAGGCCGTAGGTCCGGGCTTACAAGTACCCCTAGGTCTCTTTCACAAGTCGACTTCTCTAGGTTGAAGTTGTTAAGGCTGTATACATTATCAGTATTTGTTCTTCCAATATTAAGTACGCTGCACTTGCTGGTGTTGAATTTCTTTTGCCAATTTTCAGACCACCCCTGCAGTTTATTTAGATCCTCCTGTAATGCATTTGCATCCTGCCCTGAATTAATTTGCCGCCCTATTTTGGTGTCATCCTCAAACTTTTCTTATGTCACTGCTGATCCCAGTATCTAGATCGTTTATGTAGATTATGAACAAGAGTGGGCCTAGTACTGACCCCTGGGGAACCCCACTGGTTACACGGCCCCACTCAGATTTAACACCATCTTTGCTGACCCTCAGCGTTCTATCGGTGAGCCATGATTTTATCCAATTTAAAACTTTCCCCTCGATTCCATGAGCCTTAATTTTTCTCAGAAGCCCCTGATGCGGTACTCTGTCAAATGCTTTGCTAAAGTCTAAGTAAATAACATCGTAATTTTCGTCATTATCTACTACCTGGAAGACTTTCCTAAAAAACGTTAGCCGATTTGTTAGACAAGATTTTCCCTTTGTAAACCCATGTTGAGAGTCGTAGATTAATTTGCTTTTCTCTAGATGCGATCGGATGCAATCTGCTATAATTGATTCAAGAAATTTCCCCACTACTGACGTCAAACTGATCGGCCGGTAATTTGATGCTGATGCTCTGTCTCCCTTTTTGAATATGGGTACTACATTTGCCTGTTTCCACAAGTCTGGCACAACTCCAGTGTCTAATGATTTTGTAAATAAGTTTACGAGGGGTCCGCTAATCTGTTCCCTACACTCTTTCAAGACTCGAGGGAAAATTTCATCCGGCCCTGGGGATTTTGTTTTCTTTAGTTTATTTATCTTCTTAAGAACATCCTCTTTTCTGATAGTGATATTCTTTAATTTCTCTTCTTCCTTTCCCTTAAATATCAGTTCCACATCTGGAATTTCATCGCAAATTTCTTCTGTGAAAACTGATAAGAAGTAGCTGTTCAATGCTTTGCTTATTTCTTCACTGCCATTTATCACTTCTCCCCTCCCTGACCTTAAAGGCCCAACTTTGTCCTTGACCTTTGTCCTATGTACCTGGAAAAATCCCTTGGGATTCGCCTTGGATTCTCTTGCTATTTTGATTTCATAGTCTCTCTTTGCTTTCCTTACATTTTTCTTAACATTACTAGATAGTTCATTATACCTATTTCTGAGCTGCTCCTCCCCTCCCTTTAATTTCTTATATATTCCTTTCTTTATTCCTATGTCATGTTTAAGTTTTCTGGTCATCCACCTTGGCTCATTCTTATTTGTCCTAATTTTTCTGTATGGTATATTTTGTTCTTATGGTTTATGTAGTATACTAGTGAATACATTATAGTCATGATCAATTGTTGTGTCATCTATGACCTCACCCCTTCCTACTGGGGACTGACGTGACTGTTCCCAGGTGACCTCACCTAGGTACCTTCTTAACCCCTGATAATCCGTCAACTGTACGTTTGGGACTCTGACCATATTGTCATTGTTTTTCGTTAACCAATTTTGGGTGAACCTGATTTCTCTGTGATCACTGTTACCTAGTTCTTCCCCTACTGTGATATCTCTGATAATATTAAATATCTCGCTTACGTGTAATTTGCGATAGAAGTGTCATAAAGAAAAGTGATAGAGATGGGTAAGTTCTACCTATAGCAATTATTCATTTGCAAACATCTCATGAGTCCACTCGTAAAATACCAAAAATACTGTACATATATTAGCAAACTGATGAAAATGTCTAAGTCTGATTACAATCAAGTCGGTCACTACAAGACTAATGTCCGGGGTTATAATCACCCCCTTCCGTCTCCCACAAGGAACCCGTAGGTAGGAGTCGTTCCTTCAAGTGGTAGTTTTAATCGCCCGAACCTTTTCCCCTTTGTGCGGTACCTTCTAGAATAGGGCTGGTAAGCATTATGGGTCGTCTTACACTTGTCAGTGGCGGCCGTAGGAGTGTTTAGAATATGGACAATCGGCCCCTAAAATATTTTTTTTTGTAAAAAGACTATTTCTGTAACACTGAAGAAATTCAGTGAAATATTTTTAGAAAAATATAGATTTGTTCGAAATCATATTTCATTTTTAAATAATATTAAATGCTTAATAACATTTAACATGTATCGGTAATTATTAACGACTGGCCCGCCGCCAATTTTTCATAGAAAGCGATTTTAAAGACGCCGCAATTTCACTGTGTTTTGTAGTGGACACTGTCGTAGTTTGGGCAAATGTGTTAAAAAGATGTTATTTCTAAATTAAACCTAACCTAACCTTAGTTGATAATAAACAAGTGGCAGAATTGTTGTTAGAAGGCCTCACCAACCTGACCAAAGAAACCTACCTAACCTTGCCTAACTTCTTAGCTGTGGGACTCCACCCCCTTGACCCCCCCCCGCATATTAAACAGAAAGAACTTACGATGATATGATGTAATTTAACGTTTTTTGTGGACGTGGGAGCAGCCACCTGGAATGTGCGGCATCGATTGGAGCGTCAATACGATTGGCTGTTTACATCTGGGATAAGGCATCACTATCGTATTCCCTCCGAGAAGACAAAATAGTGCGTGCCTAGGTACCTAATTATCTACCGAACGAATCATTTTCCAAACAAATGATTATCATATCAGAACTCACTGGTGGAAACATTGTAAGAAAATATACATCAAATATACATCGCCGGGTTAGTCATCAATATTAGCCCACTTTTCAATAATACAAATTTAGTGTTGAAAAGTATCATGTGTATGTGTCACTCATTTAGAGAAAATGTAGAAAAATATTCTTAATTAAATGAATAAAAATTACGGCACTGGAAAATTGTCAGTGTAGGTGTGTGAGTGAGTTACTCTTTAGGGTTCTGACCGTTATGACTTCTTGTACGTTGCTGTATCGAGTTATTGCGAGGGTCAGTACATCTCGTCGATATAACTTGATACAGCGAAGTACAAAAAGTTATGGTCAGAACACACACACCTACACTGACAATTTTCCACCATCTTTTGTGTTACTGTTTATAGATTTTTTTTAAATATCAATGAAGTTGAATATAGAGTAATGAAAGCATTCATGAATTTTGTTTCAGGCTGGATGTTCCTTTGACCAAGACCTAATGGATGATGCTAAGGCTTCCACTACCACCAGGGCAACATAAACATTACTGCTGTTCTTATTACGACATGATGGGTAAGTATTTTTTTAATTAACTTTTGGTGTTAACTAAAAACAATGTTATTATCATGGTTGTTCCTGTCAATGGGGGGAGGTGGCAGAATCTTCTCAGGCACGTTTGTTGTAATGGATGTTTATATAATAAGAGAAAAAGAAAACGTGTTGGAATCTGAAAATATACAGTTTTCCTTCAGAACTTTATGATTTTGTCATCAAACCTCCCTCAGGAAGGATCAAGGTCTAAACCACTAATAGTGACAGACAACAGGAACCAAGTAAACCAAACTTAATGATCTTACACATCTAGTGATTCGGTTCGGATTGGTGGGTTTGTCACCATTTCCCTTAGCCCCACAAACTGTTGTCATTTCGTAAGAACACTTCTAAAGAAATTGCTGTGGTTACATAGGCATTATATAATCCTCTCCCACCCAATAAATAATTTTACCTTTAAAACCAACCACAGCTTTGAGATCCTTCCAATATATAATGGGATATAAGTGGTGATATTATCATTAACCTTTATGATTTGTTTATTGGAGTAAAGTGTTGTGTAGAGTTAATCTGATTGGGTTTTTTTCTTTCATATAGGTGAAAGTTAACAGTTACTCGAAGGACCGTAACACACCATAACACATTACACTACAGGTATGTCCAAGTAAATTTTGTGGTAGGATTCATTCTAAGAAAAGGTGGTAGCAAAGGTCACACAGGGTCAGAGAGACAACTATATTGTTGACTTTTCGTCTCGAGGGACTTGCTCAAAGGAATACACACTTGGATTTTTTTTTTTAAGATTTGCAAAATCGCAGCAAATTTTTGCAAATTTTGGGGTATGTAACTGTGCATCTCCCCACTAGCGTGAGAGCGGATACCCATTAAGAAACCAGAGGATTTCTTGAGACCGTTTGGTGGTTAGGCTTTTGGCGAAACCTCTCTGCTGTGACAAGGGGAAAGCAAGTCTCTCCCAGCTAATTGTGTTCCAGTGCACTATTAGGTAGTGCTAGAGATAATTTTCTGCTCCTCTGTTGCAGTCTTATATACAGTATACCCTCTCCTGCTGGTACTTGTAGACCCTTTTTCACTATTGCATGGACAGCCAATCTCGGCCGGTGAAGGGTGCTTTCTTCCCACCTTGTCATATCCTTCGAGTGGTGAGCTCTCATAATTCGTGGCCGGGTAGTACCAACTGGGGAGTACGTGTTATTGTTCATTCTTTATTTGCTCCCGACTGGGTGGGATGTCCATCTATATGTCTCGCTGCCCTAGAACAGCCTTGGCAGCATCATCAGTTAACCCGTTCCTTGAGATTCCGACATGGCATGCACCTGCTTTCGTATTACTGGGTTCTACGGAACCGTGTGTGTTATACACTGTATTATTGTGCGGCGTTACATCCTTCATGTTATAACTCATAATTTTTAATGTTGTTGGACTAGAGCAGGGGTCACCAAACCACGGCCCGCGGGCCGGATCCGGCCCGCGACGTCAGTTCATCAGGCCCGCCGACGGTACTTGAATTTGCTTGATAAAACGTGCACACTAGGTCTGATGTAACTATCTTTTTGCTAACGTCGCCTTCTTTGATAGCTTTTTAGTAAATATATATGTTGGTTGTCTTTGTTTTTTGTGCATTGCACGCCACTCACCCATGATTAACATGGAATGCTAAACTTAGTTTTTCGTCTTTTTTCCCAGAGCTTTCGTTCTGGCTTGCAAGTATTGAACAGAATGATTATGCGGCCCACGCTCGTCATTCTTTCAGTTATCCGGCCCACTGTGAAAAAAGTTTGGTGACCCCTGAACTAGAGCATTATTAACATTGCTACGCACTTAAAGACTTTAGTTGCTGAATCACAGTAATAACATTTTAAGAACAACCACCATCTCGTGTTCATTCCTTTGATAATGTCCTTCGAGACGAAACGTTAGAAATAAAGTTGACTCTGACTGTTTCCTTCAACCACTTAACCATTATTCTTTTTGTACTTGCTCGGGAGTCTTGTGTTTCCGGTAACTATAAAGGCAGCGGCACACTGGGCACTTTCCTCCAAACATGTTGCCCGTTTTGCTGGCCGTTAGACTGACGGCCTAGCAAGCAGCACGATTTTTGCCGTTGTTAGAAATGGACAACGGTTTGGCGGGGATCCTTGCTGGCCGGATTAGTGTTCAAATGCGCTTCATGTAATTTTAAGTAAAAAATTAAATAAATCTTTAAACAATAATAATTAATAAAAATATAATACATAAACCTGTGATATATTTCTATTTATTCGTCACTTTAAAACTTCTTTAGTATTACTAAATCATTATTCAGGGTCTTCTTTGACCAGCCAGCCGCCGCCACTTTTAAACAAACTTCACGACGCACCCATTAGCTTTTCTTTAGCTTTTGCAGACGCCTCACTTGCTTCACCAATTAAAGAACTATGACAATCCTGCAAGGCCTTAACTGTAGTACCGGGATCTATGGCGAACCTCCTCTAGACGCTTTGTTGTTGTTTTCGTTGTGTTGGTCAGACGCGCTAACAAAACATCCCAGTGGGACGCAAAACGTCTCTTTCTTTTGCCGGCCGGTGTTTGCCAAATATGTTTGGAGGAAAGTGCCCAGTGTGCCGCCGCCTTAAGTTGCCCTTACGTCCTGTGTTGAAAATCGGGATCACGTTTGCTTTGTAAAGTCACTCGGACAATTTTCTTAATCCAGTGATTTTACAGATATTGACTTGCTTATATCAGTCTCAATCAACTTTGTAAACTTTGAATTCCTTTACATCATTATTACATGATCTTTTAAGTCATTTTCCATTCCACGTCTTGCATCCTCTTAGAACTGGCATGTTTTCCAGTGTTTCTTGTGATTACTAAAAATCGAGTCAAGATTGAATCACAACAAACAAAAGACATTTTTTATTGCACTTTTCGCAATACGGGATTGAATCTAGTAGTTATTTAGTTATTTGAAGGAAACAATTTAAAGTCTTGATGGAGGGGGGGGGGACATAGAACCCGAGTCGATTATGTTATAGTAAGCAGAGCGGCAAAAATGATGATATTACCAACTCTAGGGTGTGTGGCTGGGGTCCTGGTATCACCCACTCTAGCGTGTGTGGCTGGGGTCCTGGTATCACTCACTCTAGCGTGTGTGGCTGGGGTCCTGGTATCATCCACTCGAGGGTGTGTGGCTGGGGTCCTGGTATCACCCACTCTAGCGTGTGTGGCTGGGGTCCTGGTATCACTCACTCTAGCGTGTGTGGCTGGGGTCCTGGTATCATCCACTCGAGGGTGTGTGGCTGGGGTCCTGGTATCACCCACTCTGGGGTGTGGCTGGCTGTATCACCACTCTAGGTGTGTGGCTGGGGTCTGGTATCATCCACTCTAGGGTGTGTGGCTGGGGTTCTGGTATCACCCACTCTTGGAGTGTGTGGCTGGGGTTCTGGTATCACTCTAGGGTGTGTGGCTGGGGTCCTGGTATCACCCACTTTCTGGAATGTGTGTGGGGTTCTGGTATCACCCACTCTAGGGTGTGTGGCTGGGGTCCTGGTATCACCCACTCTTGGGTGTGTGGCTGGGGGTTCTGGTATCATCCCACTCTGGGTGTGTGGCTGTCCTACACCCACTCTTCGGTGTGTGGCTGTGGCACCACTCTAGGGTGTGTGGCTGGGTATCACCCACTCTAGGGTGTGTGGCTGGGGTCCCTGGTATCATCCACTCTAGGGTGTGTGGCTGGGGTCCTGGTATCATCACTCTAGGGTGTGTGGCTGGGGTCCTGGTATCATCCACTCGAGGGTGTGTGGCTGGGGGGGTGTGTGGCTGGGGTCTGGGTATCACCCCTCGAGGGTGTGTGGCTGGGGTCCTGGTATCATCCACTCGAGGGTGTGTGGCTGGGGTCCTGGTATCATCCACTCGAGGGTGTGTGGCTGGGGTCCTGGTATCATCCACTCGAGGGTGTGTGGCTGGGGTCCTGGTATCATCCACTCGAGGGTGTGTGGCTGGGGTCTGGTATCATCCACTCGAGGGTGTATGGCTGGGGTCCTGGTATCATCACTCGAGGGGTGTGTGGCTGGGGTCTGGTATCATCCACTCTGTGTGGCTGGGGTCCTGGTATCATCCCACTCGAGGGTGTGTGGCTGGGGTCCTGGTATCATCCACTCGAGGGTGTGTGGCTGGGGTCCTGGTATCACCCACTCTTGCGTGTGTGGCTGGGGTCACTGTCGGCCAAGATATTCAGATGAATGAGTGGAACGCTGCATTTATGTTGTTGTTCTTTGTTTTTTTACCTGGGAATGGTGGTCTATTGGATTCGATAAGTTGTGAGATATCCAGTGTAGGGAGTTATGTCTGCCGCAGTGTGTCGGTAGTGAGCGCCGCGCAGGTGTAGCCTCTGACAACTTTAGTCGCTAAGCTGAGAACGAAATTTATATATGGCTCCGCAGATTTTTTTTTTTTTTGTGTTCCAACATTTAACTTATAACTTTTAGACATTTGTTAAATTTAGGAACCCAAATGAAGATAATTGGTCAGTCAAAACAACAGAAAATCTTCAAACACGAGGTGATCCTTTGTGACAAAACATAATTTACATGTTGACAAACTCGATCTTCAGCACATCCAATACTCACATAACGACTATCACCACTACAACAAATAAACTTACTTAGTCAAGTTATAATAGTCACTTTTACTCTTAGTCTGAGTACTTGCAGCAACAGGTTCTCACTTTCCATGACATTGTAGTATTCGCCTTTTGACACAAGATACTTTTTGCACTCATCAAACCGCTTCAACGACACTCGCCTTCAACACCTCTTCCACAAGACCAGAAGACAACTTGGCTAAAGAGGCGTGAGCGGAGAAATAGAATACAGTAATCAAACAGCCAGGGATGTTTTAACACTACAACAACGATGTCTTAGATAACATGTGAAAGGATGTTTTCATACATAAAACTGTATTTTTAACTTTATATTTTATGTTATCACAAGGGATGTTTTAATATATATAAAGATTATTTTGTTGGTCTCGTGTAGCTCTAGAAATCGCCGTGGGTTCCTGGCAAGGCGTACATAACATGGTAGTCTCAACAATTTATTTAAAGATATTCGGTAAGATCGTGTAAAAATACTGACAATATTGCAGTAATTACGTGAAATATCTTAATATTTCAGCTGAGAGTAATATTGCTGGAGCTGTCAGTGATTGACTTTAATAGTGCATTTATAAGAACATTAAACAAAGTGGGCCCTAAGTACTCCACCTTAGGGAATAGTTGCATATCTTTAACATCACTTTTGTAACCCTGAAACTGTTTGTGAGGTAACCATTTATCCAGTGTAACAGACGTCCTTCTATATCCATCTTGGCTAATTCGTACAATATTAGTTTCCTATTGGCAATACCAAGTACAGTTTAAAGGTCAAGAAATGTGGGTGTATCTATGCCCTTCATCCCTATGCTCAGTTAGGAATGTGGTGATTCACTTATGTACACGGTTACCATGGGGACATGTGTTTTCTGATCCTGTATAAGAGTCCGACTCTCAAAGGTTTTTTTTTTACACAGGCAGCTGGTTAGTGATATAGGGCGAAAGGCATCAGTCTGTCCCGGCTTCGGTATTGGTACAACAATACTGCTGGTCCCTGATGTGGGTAGTTGGCTTTCGGCATGACTCATATTGTACAATGCCAGTAATGGATTGTCGTGGTTGTTGTGATTCTTGTTTGTTGTTGTCGTGTTGTTCTGACCGTAGTTTGTTATTGTCGTGGCTTAATGATTTTGTTGTTAATATTATTGTTGCTGCTAGTGTTATTGTTGTGGCTGGCGTGGTTATATTTTTCCACAGATGATATCATGAATATCCTGGAAAGATATGAACAGGATAGGTGTCCGTCCAACAACAAATCAAAGAACTATGTTATCATGTATTTTGATGAAGGAACCATTGTGTGTGTAGCAGAGGAGGTGGTGGTGCTGAAGGACGGCGTGAAGGTGTGTGTGGACAGGTATATTACACCCCTGATTGACGGGAGGGGGAGGCCTGAGAGGAGGTAGGAGGGTAGGAATATATCTCACTCATCTCCCTAATATTACCTCGCGTGATTCTCCTCCCCAGAATTGACAGATCGAATGACTTGTTTACTCGTCGGATGGAGTTGAGCGTATCACATAAAGGTGCAAGTCTAACCTGTTATTTGTGAAGGTTTACGGCCCAGGTACGGGAATTTTTTTTTCTGACAGGTTAATTGGTGCTCTTGGTACAATAGGGGGATTGGGGATATGACAGGTGGATTCTTGTTAGTTTATTATTATTATTATTATTATTATTATTATTATTATTATTATTATTATTATTATTATTATTATTATTATTATTATTATTATTATTATTATTATTATTATTATTGTTGTTTTTGTTGTTATTGTCGTTGTTGCTGTTGTTATCGTTATCATATTTTCTTTGTAAACTTCACCTACTGATCAGTCCAAATTAGTCAACAGTGAAGGCAAGATAACACATACTGACGAGGGAGTTTTACACGTCCTCCCTCACACGTCTTATTGTGTGACCTCTGACCTCTATCTCTGACCTCTGACCTCTGATGTTCGATATGCCAGATAAGTCCATAGTGATATGTAAGAAGAATGAAATACAAAAAGAAAAAAAGAAAGAACAGAGAGAGAGAGGAATAAGAGAAAATAAAAAGAAAAAACGAAGGCAGAAGAATGTACTGTAGATGGAGCAGAATGAAATAAAGAAAGAAGGAGTAAGAGGATAAAAAAGAACAAGAAAAAGAAAGAAGAAAATAAAATAAGTTTCACTCCCTTCCCTCCTCTCCTCCCTCCCTCCCTCCCTCCCTCCTCCTCCCTCCCCCCCTCCCTCCCCTCTCCCCCCTCCCCTCCCCTCCCTCCCCTCCCTCCCTCCCTCCTCCCTCCTCCTCCTCCCTCCTCCTCCCCTCCCTCCTCCCTCCACCCCCCTGCCTCCTCCTCCCTCCCCTCCCTCCCTCCCCTCCCTCCTCCCTCCCCTCCCCTCCCTCCCTCCCCTTCCCTCCTCCCTCCCTCCCCTCCTCCCTCCCTCCCTCCCCTCCCCTCCCCTCCCCTCCCTCCCTCCCTCCCTCCCCCCTCCCTCCCTTCCCTCCTCCCCTCCCTCCCTCCCCTCCCTCCCTCCCCTCCCCTCCCTCCCCTCCCCTCCCTCCCTCCCCCCTCCCTCCCTCCCTCCCTCCCTCCCTCTCTCCCTCCCTCCCCTCCTCCCCTCCCCTCCCTCCTCCCTCCTTCCCCTCCCTCCCCTCCCCCTCCCTCCCTCCCTCCCCTCTCTCCCCTCCCCTCCCCTCCCCTCCCTCCCCTCCTTCCCCTCCCTCCCTCCCCTCCCTCCCCCTCCCTCCCTCCCTCCCCTCCCTCTCTCCCCCCCACCCCTCCCTCCCCTCCCCTCCCTCCCTCCCCTCCCCTCTCCCCTCCCCTCCCTCCCCTCCCTCCCCTCCCCCTCCCTCCCTCCCTCCCTCCCTCCCTCCCCCTCCCTCCCTCCCCTCCCCTCCCTCCCTTCCCCTCCCTCCCCTCCCTCCCCTCCCTCTCCCTCCCCTCCCTCCCCCCCTCCCTCCCTCCCTCCCCTCCCTCCCCTCCCTCCCTCCCTCCCCCCTCCCCTCCCCTCCCTCCCTCCTCCCCTCTCTCTCTCCCCTCCCTCCTCCTCCCTCCCTCCCTCCCTCCTCCTTCCTCCTCCCTCCCTCCCCTCCTCCCTCCTCCCCTCCTCCCCTCCCTCCCTCCCTCCTCCCTCCTCCTCCCTCCTCCTCCTCCTCCTCCCTCTCCTCCTCTCTGGGTGCGTGTAAGGTACAGAGACTGGCTGCCTCCTATATCAAAACTCAATATACATTTTAAGTACATACCATCGTGTATATTCCCCGTATATGATATATTTCAATATATTTCGTCGCTGGCTGATGTATGATTCAAGAGTCATTGGGTTCAGTATAATAATTAGGTGGCAACTTATGGAATAGGTTAGTAATATTTCTGGAAGGGAAGGGAGATTATGGAATGGGCCAATATTTTTTTTCTGGAAGGGAAGGGAGATTATGGAATGGGCCAATTTTTTTTTTCTGGAAGGGAAGGGAGATTATGGAATGGGCCAATATTTTTTTTTCTGGAAGGGAAGGGAGTTTATGGAATGGAGAGGGAGATTCACTGTTAACTGGTTGCGTCCGTTAATGGAATAATGGCGTTCGTCATTCACTGTTAACGGGGACGGTTGTCGCTTCCATAGCTATTAACGGGACACTGTTATTGATACGCCTGTTATTCAGATGAAAATACTGCCTCTTTCACTGTTAACAAAATTAGATTAGTACCTCTTCTACTGTTAACGGAATAAGTTTAGTCCCTCTTTTACTGTTAACGGAATTAGATTACTGCCTCTCACTTTTAACGGATTTAGATGAGTACCTTTTTACTGTTAACGGAATTAGATTAGTGTCTCTCCTGTTTACAGAATTAGATTAGTACCTCTTTCACTGTTAGCAGAATGACATTTAACTTTATATTAACCTATTGAGTCTTTATTTACAAAACACGGCATAGGAATGACGAACTTAGGACGGGAAAGGCACTGCGCACTTTCCCCGCTTAACTGAAGAGTTTACCTTCCTGGGGGAAATATCCATAAACTGAAAATACCTCCCCGAAATTTCCCACCAAAAATTCCCCCAAATTAACCAAAAATTTCCCCAAATTCGCCCAAATTCCCAAATGACTACAAAATCTCCCACTGCCTCTCTTTATGTTTGGAGATGCGTTTCAGAGGCATCCAAGAATATTATTGTAGTCAGAGGACAAGATGTTGATATTAACCCTGACCTGCTAACACACACACACACACACACACACACACACACACACATAAAATAAACACGTCAAAAACAAACACACAAACACCGGCTATCACTCTACCATAACTAGACATATTCTCATCCTTAATTAAGAGAGAGAGAGAGAGAGAGAGAGAGAGAGAGAGAGAGAGAGAGAGTTATTATACGACCCTCTGAGGTGTGAGACTCGTCGTGACCTCTGAGGCGGTAAGTGATAAGAGGTAATTATGGTAATCCTTCAGGTAAATAAGGAAATGAGTCGTTGTTACCTTCTTGCAGCGGATTAAGAAAATACACACACACACACACACACACACACACACACACACACACATATTGTACAGTTGATGGATTAATGTCGGGAAGGATAGAGTAAGATAGAAATGGCGTCTAAAGAGAGAGGCTATTTTTAAGAGGGATTATTAACAATATTGACTTCCAGACTCATCCCCCCTCCCTCTCTTCCTCCCTCTCTTCCCCCTCGTGATGAACTATTGTGTGTCCAGGAGGCTCCACTTATCTCCTCTTCACCTTTATCAAAAATTCTGATTACGATTTTTTTGTAACTCGGAGAAGTGAAAAGGTAAACATGAGGTGATTTATTTACTGGCATAGTCGCTCTGATTCGCTCATTTACGTTCCCGGTGGACGAGGATTCGGTGTTTCTTTTGTTGTCATTTGAGTGTTTATAGTTCGTTAGTGAGCTTTGACACGACTTATTGTTTGTGTGTTGTATTGTGTGATGTTGGGGAGGAGGGTTGTGGTGCGCAGGCAGGAATCGTTGTTACAGCTGTCAGGGACTTGTCAGCTGCTGAATATCAGGTGTTGGTGTGTTGTTGCGTTCTTCTGGCTGACCACTGCTGACCACAGTGACAGGTGAGAGGTCAACACGCACCTCTCCCACACATCCCACATAAGTGTGAGTGTGTGTGTGTCTGTGTGTGGAATTCAGGGGTTGAGGGCTGCCGGCGGCCAACACCGTCACAATCCTTCCTACTGCCTTACCTGTCCCTCAGGTTCCAGGCATCACGACAGGTGCTCTCCTCTACCTTGGTCGCAGTGCATTTTTGTCAAAACCATTTTTGTTCGTAAAGTACACACAAGTTGTTTGTGTATTCAAATGTAAGCTTAACCTCGACACTATCTTGAATCAACTGTTTTAAACTATAACCAAGTAGAGGTAGGTTCATGTACACAGCTCCCCAGGCCAGGCCAGGAACAAAATATAAATTAGAAACTAACTAAAAAATAAATGAATAAATAAATAAAATTAATTTCCATTTTTTGCCAACGCTCTTGGTCATTATTGTGTCCAAATTTCAGCTTCCCAAATCAAATTGTGTCGGAGATATCACCGACCAGGGAATTACTACACCACGTGAGGCCCCTCATAATACCATCTGTGAGGGAATTACTACACCACGAGAGGCCCCTCATAACACCATCTGTGAGGGAATTACTACACCACGTGAGGCCCCTCATAACACCATCTGTGAGGGAATTACTACACCACGTGAGGCCCCTCATAACACCATCTGTGAGGGAATTACTACACCACGTGAGGCCCTCATAACACCATCTGTGAGGGAATTACTACACCACGTGAGGCCCCTCATAACACCATCTGTGAGGGAACTACTACACCACGTGAGGTCCCTCCTAACACCATCTGGGAGGGAGTTACTACACTACGTTTTTGCTGTTCAACACCTAAATTAATCTGAATGTTCACTGTATGTTCCTTTACCTTTCTCTAATGAAGGCTTTTGTTAAACCACCAATGTATGTAATAAGTCATTTATGCCCAATGTATATTTTCAGCCTTCGGGCTGCAGAACTTTTTCAATAAACCGTTAATTATTATTATTATTATTATTATTAAAATGATAACAGACGAGCGGACCGACTACCGCCCGTCTCCTGCCCACTTCTCGGAAATCACCTCCTTCTACCCAGTTGTCGTTATAAACAATACACAAGTTTACAACAGGCAGCAGGAATATATCTACTAAATTTTGCCAACTTTATTTAGAAAACGGAATGAGGACAAGGTGTAGTAACGTCGCTACGTGGAAGAGAATAGTCACAATATAGCTTTTTCCTGACTCCACACTTTTGTTACGCCCTGTAGAGTATATGTTAGTAAATGCAATCTCTCCAAAAGACCTTCACGATATATGAAGAGGAACGCCGAGAATTTTAATTTTATTATTATTATCTGCGGTGTGAGGAGGATAATACCATACCTGGCAACCCGACTTTAACCTTTTAGTTTTCATTGTTTCCCCTTATTTAACGCATAAAATCACACCTGGATCAGTTATTGTCTGAAACCTCTTAAGTACGATTAATATTGCTCGCTAAAAGTGAATAATAGATAAAGATCAATACTTTGTAGTTTTATCGGAGAAAGTTACAAATATACATGTAAGGCTTCCACCACAACCACCAATCCCAACGTAGTTTCTTTCACCTATTTACAAAACTCTGTGCTGATTGGCTGTATCAGGTGAGCTAGAGAAAACGAAAGGCGGAGGGATAACTATGTTGATGGTCATAACTTCGTGAGGTGGTAGAGGCCAGCAAGCTTGGCCCCCACATACCACCGTGATAATCCGACATTATTGCTGTTTACCCTTTATGCCAGCACGACCTGGCCTTTGTGTTAGACTTCTGAGGTTGCAACACAGCTTACTTCTCGGTTGGTAAAGGTTAAACATGGCGGAGGGTTTTAAGAGAATAAAATTAGCTATGCACACGAGAACTGTTTAGAATACGAAATTAAAACAAAGTATTGAATTTTACTTTTTTTATGTACTAGCGGAGGTATCTGATGTAATCTATGCATGCCCATCGAGGAGAGGAGCTTAAGATATGCCCGGGTGAGATGAGAATCGACTGTATGATCCTACCTGGCATACAGATGACTCGTATCTGATGCTCACTTGTTTCTGACCACAACAACAACACCACCAGCCGCACAGACCCGACCCACCCTACTATCTCCTGCACGATATTACTAAATATAATCATGCCCCATTAAGGAAGGACTCTAGTTGTGCATTTTTGGCTATAGATGGACACACCTTGTAGGCATCAGAAGCCCCAACAAAACATTTCCAACTCATGATATCAATAAAATAACGAAAAACTGATAAAATAAATCAAGGTTATTAGTTCAAAACACATATAACAATGGACAGTAAGCGACCGAAGTAAAGTGTAAACATAACATCACGTGCTGAGCCAACAGGTTTATGACAGCTTGTATTGTACACTGATTATGTTCACTCTACTTCTTCTCCTCCTCCTCATCCTTCTTCTTCTTCTTCTTCTTCTTCTTCTTCTTCTTCTTCTTCTCCTTCTTATTATTATTATTGCTGTTATCATTATTATTAGTAGTCGTAGTAGAGTAACATGGAGTCACCCGGGGTAGGGACAGATGCTAGTGCACGACCGTGATGGGAAGAAAGAATATTTTATTTTATTTTATTATATTTTATTGTTTTATTTGTTTTGCCCGGGAGGGAAGCTTATCTGATTTACTGGTGAGAAATTGAATTATGTAATGCTTAGGAGCCCCAGCTTATTCCAAATGATGATTAAGCACCCTAACCTAACCTGACCTAACCAAACCAAACCAGTAAGTGACATAACTACACAACCACTACAGTCACATCACCACCACACAACCACCACACTATCGCACCACACCACTATCACCACATCCTTACACCATTACATCACCACACCACCACCACAAACAATTCAACAACAATAATACCACCCCCACCACCACCACCACCACCTACCAACCTTCTCCATAAATGGCAAAAATACGACCATCTGTCAGCAGCGATGCTCTGTATGACGAGAGGGAGACAATTTGGTGAGACGCGAGAGATTAATGTTTGAGATAATGGGTGATAAATCTGTGAGATAAGGAGGAGTGTTATTATCTCTGTCCTCTGGAGACAACGAGACGTGATGAACCCACGTGATAGGTGACGAGGCAAAGTGTATGAGTTTCTTAAAGCTTCGTATACCTGTGTGTGTGTAGCCTCCTCGAGTCACCTGTGAAGATTAGGCACTCCTAGCTTATTTCACCTGGTGATTCAATACGCTATCGCTACCCTAACCTAACCTACCCTAACCTAACCTAACCTAACCTAACCTAACCTAACCTAACCTACCCACCCCCCCCCTCAAGGTAGCGTTAGGGTGTTGGATCATCAGGTGAAATAAGTTGGGGTGTTTTATCTTCAGGTAATCCGCTACCTCTTAGATCCTAGGGGTTGATATAACGTATCTAGTAGAGTCTCGGTGCAGATTGGGCGCCATTTTGACTGGCTTCGTGTCCTTCCTTGCTTAAATGATCCTCAATATTTCTCTCAGGATTTGGGCCGGTGGGAGGGGGGATAGATGGGCGGGAAGAGGGAGAGTGGATGGGCGGGAAGAGGGAAGGTGGATGGGCGGGGAAGGAGAAGGCTGATGGGTGGTACTGATGTGAGACGAAACACCAAGTCACTCACTGTTGGTACACCACCCCCCACCCCCTGCCACACACCCTGCCACACACCCTACCTCTTTGCCTCTCCCTACCACCTTGCTTCCCCCTGTCTCCACCTACCTCCTTGCTTCCCCCTGCTTTCCGGCCTTCCACCTGTCTCCCCTGCTTTCCTGCTACCCCCCTTGCCTCCCTCAAGCAGACAGACAGTGAGGGATTACACCTAATGCTTCCACTGTGGTTGATGGTTGTTCCTTTCACAGTTCAGCCACAGAGGAAGGTGCCGCCCGCTAGTCTGCATGGGTATTGTTTCGTCCCATGAGCATCAGACGCATTTTTTTGTTTGTTTTATAATTTTCACACGAACTGGGCTCAATACTCAGTGAAGCTGCGAAAGATTCAAGAGCAACCAATTACCTTTTTCAGAACCTCGATGTAGTAATTGTATCGAATCTTTCTTCCCGGGAGGTTCAAGAAATCTTTGATACTTTATTTAAAACATATCCTTAATAATCGTTCAATCCACAACGGAAAAAAAAAGATTACACGGATCGGCAGAGAGGGACAATCCAGTACCTTACAACAGGCATGGAAAATTATCTCAATGCTCCAGGAGAAATGTATATTATCTTCTCAGAGGCCGTGAAACATGGAGACACGTTCATGACTTTCAAACAATGTTACTTTACCGCCATGAATCACTTTTTATTAGGTAGTCACTAACGCTGCGGTCTGCTGTTGTGTGGTGGTGCAGCCCCGAGCCTCGTGTACAGCGGCGGCAGAAATGACCACTCCTGTATTACTGACTGTGAGGAGGTGACTGGGAACACCTCCACCTCCAGTCGACTGTGAGGGGGTGACTGGGGACACCTCCACCTCCAGTCGACTGAGGGGGTGACTGGGGACACCTCCACCTCCAGTCGACTGGTCACCGTATTACAGAATGGATATAGAATCATTGGAAAGAATTCAGAGGAGAATGACCAAGACTAATCCTGGGCATTAGGAACCTTGATTATAGAGACAGGTTAAAGCATCTAAATTTGCACTCCCTCGAGAGACGTAGAGCGAGGGGCGACCTGATAGAGGTGTATAAGTGGAAGTCAGGGCTAAACAAAGGGGACATTACAAAGGTACTCAAACTATCCAACCAGGAGCGAACTCGTAACAATAGTTTTAAATTAGACAAATTTAGATTTAGGCGTGAAATAGGTAAACACTGGTTTGGAAACAGAGAAGTGGATAATGAACACGTTACCAAATATCATCATTAACTCGAATACGCTGAATAGCTTCAAACATAGGTTGGATGCTCATATGAGCAATAGGGGTTGGGTGTAAACGGGACTGCCCAGTATGGGCCAATGGGCCCGCTACAGTTTCCTCCATTTTTGTGTTCTTGTGTTCTTGTGTGAGGGGGTGATTGGGGACACTTCCACCTCCAGTCGACTGTGAGGGGGTGACTGGGGACACCTCCACCTCCAGTCGACTGTGAAGGGGTGACTGGGGACACCTCCACCTCCAGTCGACTGTGAAGGGGTGACTGGGGACACCTCCACCTCCAGTCGACTGAGGGGGTGACTGGGGACACCTCCACCTCCAGCCGATTGTGAGGGGGTGACTGGGGACACCTCCACCTCCAGTCGACTGTGAAGGGGTGACTGGGGACACCTCCACCTCCAGTCGACTGTGAAGGTGATCAGACACTCACCCTCCAGCCGACTGTGAGGGGGGTGACTGGGGAGACCTCCACCTCCAGCCGACTGTGAGGGGGGGTGACTGGGGAGACTCTCACCTCCAGCCGACTGTGAGGGGTGACTGGGGAGACCTCCACCTCCAGCCGACTGTGAGGGGGTGACTGGGGACACCTCCACCTCCAGTCGACTGTGAGGGGGGTGACTGGAGACACCTCCACCTCCA